GCTAGGGAGATGGCTCAGTTTGGGTTAACTGCTTGACTATAAAAGCCAGGCAGGGGAGGTGTGGTGATGCATGTCTATAACCCTGCTGGGGTTACGGGGCTAGAGGATCCCCAGAGCTCATCATCAGACAACCTAGCTGAATGAGTGAGCTACAGTGCAAGGCGCTGCTGTCCCAAGGAATAAGGTGGAGTGCAATAGAGGAAAGTATCCAAAGTCAACCTCTGACTTCTGCAGGCACACACACAAGCGCGCACACACACACACACACACACACACACACACACACACACACACAAACACACAGAGAGAGACAGAGACAGAGTTCCCTTAAGGGCTCACTTGAAAGCAAGTACTTAAATTACTTAGAGAAGACCAGAGTCCCCAGGCTGTCCCCTGCTCCCTACATCCCCAGGGGCGCCCAGTCTGACTTAAGTCCTTTAAAGTTCCTGAAATGACTCAGTTCTATGAAATTAGATGTACTGCATCCTGCATCCTACCAACCCAGAGCCAAAAGAAATTGTTCAAATGTGTTTTCCTCCCCTCAAGAGAAAGGATGGGTTAGACACTGCATTCCAAAAAAAAAGCTTTTAAAGTGATGGTTCCTCAAGTTTCTATTCTCAGCTACTGGGAGAGGCTGGGAGATACAGAGCCATCTGTCAACAGAGTCCACATCAGAGAAATGCAATGTTTATCAACCAGAGGATCTTGTTTGAAACTCTCTTGCTGGCTAATTCCCCTCCCCCCTCCTGAATAAACAAGGTCATTATTTTTCTCTGTGTTAAGGATAACTTGGGCCTGCCTGGCTCCAATAAATGGCACTCAGTGAACAAGTGACTATTTATTGTGTTGAACAGTCAGCCAGGAAACTGCTGCATGTTTGGCCTGATAGCCCAAATGTGGCTCTTCCTTGAAAGGCCATTTTTTTTCTTTCCTAGAATTTCTGTTCTCATGGAAACTAAGCAGGATGGAAACTAAGCTCTGCTTCCTGCACCTATATTACTATGATGTCCTGGCCCAAGGCTGGACCTCCTGCATCATCAATTGTCTAAAAACAGTGGCTTTTCTTGGTCAGGGAAAGCTTTGCCTAAAGAGTGTCAGAGCAGGATATAGCCACTGACGTCATGAACTCAGTAGCTGCAGTTAACCGCACAGGATTCGCCATGTCAGCAGTCAGTCATGGATAGAGGAAGAGCTTATGGACCCTTTCTGCTGAACTAATGGCTACCGATAGATTCTGGGAGATGGAGCAGCCATGGTCAATATCTTCTGTTGTATACCCACTGTTGAGCTCATCAGGCTCCAACGGATAGTTCCAAACCCATGGTCACACAGATGGCCCTGGTAAAACTCAGTGAGTCACAAAACAAAGCAAAAAGACATGAATGTGGGGGAAAACATATGTAGGTAAAAGGGAGAATTCACCAGGTAAGAGGGAGCTATAAAAAGGGGGTAAGAGCGATCAGAGTGCATTCATACCTTGATGAGGTTGTCAATAAACAAGTTTAATTAATAGTAAACAAAATAATAAGAGTTTATCAAAGACAAGGGATAAAATTAACCTTGCTAACATGTGTTGGCCTTGCATGTTGTTTTATTTTGTTTCGTTAACTTTAAAATCTAATCAGAGAGGTAACAAATAGATAAGAAACAAGAGAAAGAACAAAAAATAGGCTGTACACTTAGAAAAACAGTTCCTCAGAAGTCCCCTAGGATGCTAAAGCTGGAGTAAGTTGTTTTGAGAACAATTAATTCAAGGTCTCTGAAACTCTTCGAAAGATGGAATGACAACAGCAAACATTCAGGGCACCATAAGTGTGGGCTAGGTCTTCTTCATTCATGCCTAACCTTCATGGTAACTCCGTGAGGCAAGTTAGGTTCCTATTATCCCTATGAGGCAGGAGAAGATAGGCTCAATAGCCTGGTTCATTAGCCGTATGTATGTAGTAAGAGACTGAAACACAGTCCAGCCTTCCCCCTAAGCCAGGGTCCCTCTCCCTGAAAGAGCTGCCTGTCCCGCCCCCCCCACCAACAATCTTGTTGCATTTAGCACAGACTGGCACTTTTGAGATCCAGAAGCCTTTGCACATTGGTGCCAGACATTTTTCTTTGGTCATGTGACCTTGCTTCTACCGCAATGCCATGAACCGCTCTGTAACGTCTCACAAATGAGTATTCTGCAAAACACAATCCAGGCAACCTCAATCGAGGGTGGTGTTCTCATTTTGCAAAACAGAAAGTCAAGCTGGATGATACAATGACTTGCCTTCAGTTGCACAGCTGATAAATGCCAGAGTTGGCATGATGAGGCTGGTCCCCACATGGCAGGCTGATGCTCTGCAGGACAGTGCTGCTTACATCACAGTTTCTCTACCAGACTGGAGCCAGCAGCACTTTGAAGGCTCAGCTCTCAGGACTAATCCCCTTTCAAGATGATTGTTAAATAAGCCCTTCATTAGAAAAAGAGTTCTGCTTGGGCCTGCTGTGTGCTAGGCCACTTGTGAAATGCTTCCACAGATTTATTCTGTTTCCAGGCTTCTGGGCATATCTAAAATTCTCCAACAATGAATCCTTATTCATGAATTAAGTAAACTTGGAATCACTTAGTTATGAAATATGGAAATATCGCTATACTTCAGCTAGTAGAATTCAAGGTGTGGATGAGGAAGGGAGTGGGCAGGAGCACACATACATGCCAATGGCTTTAAGGAACAAAATTCTGCTTGTGGAACATGGCTCCTGACTTAGAAAGATGAGTTAATAGTCTGAACCTTCTTAATTCTCACACTTAGCATGGGTCTGTAAATCCTAATACCCAAGAGATGTTCCCAAGACAGGAGGTCCCCATGTTTAAGGCCAGGCTAGGATACATAGTAATACCATTTCAGGAAAACAAACAAAAAAGTAACATGGTTCTAGCACAAATCAAACACAAATATAAACATGCATTCCTCCAAATGCCTACAAGACTGTTGGTTCCTAGCTACATGTATTAAACAGAAGTGCAAGTGTATAAGTAGTGTCAATGGCAATCATCGGGTAAGATGGATGGAGCTCCGTATCACTGTACAAGGATTTAGGGTTCAGGAGAGAGGTACCCCAGAGGATCACTGTTCCTTCCCACATCTTTGAACCCTAACAATGGCACTGAAGTTCTGTTCATGGCTATCAACAATCTTCCACTCCTTTCCCATGCATACACATTTTTAAAGCAAACAGAGGGCAAGGGAAATGGCTCAGTCAGTAAAATGCTTATCTTACAACATGAAGATCTGAGTTTGATCCCTAAAACCCACATTTTAAAAGAAACCAGGTGTGGTAGCACATGCTTATAATCCCACAGCTGGATTCTCTGAGGCTCCCTAGTCAGACAGTCTAGCCTACTTGGTGAGTTCCAAGACAGTGGGAGACCCTGTCACAAAAGCCAAGGTAGATGGTACCTGAGGAGGAATAGTACCTGAGGTTATCCTCTGATCTACAGTATACACACACACACACACACACACACACACACACACACTAAGAGAAAGAGACAGAGTAAACTAGTAATGTCCCCAAAAGCTCAGACCTCCACACCACAGTACACGATCTCCCATTTTCCATTTCACAGTCTCTTCCTATTGCTGGTCATCCCCTCTCCCCCTTTCCTGTCTGTCCAACCTGCATAGTCTAAATCCCAAAGTTACCTTGAAAGAAGCCTCCTGGCCCTCCCATATGGGTTTATTAACAGACACTCTCCTCTTTACTTCTGAAGTTTACATGCAAAAACCATAGCAGTTACCATTCTGATGTACCTGATTTGGTCTGCCACTTTACATAGCTCTGTACCTATTTGACAGGTAAGGAGACTGAGGCCCAATGTATGCATGCAGTCACAAAGCTAGGCTTGTATCCTAAGTATGTCTGACTCCACAGTCCAGCCTGTGCTATTAATGGGCAGCAATTCCTTTCCCTTATGCTTGCAGAACTGGGTAAAGCAAGTGGCTTCCCTCTCTGTGGTCCCTGGACTGTGTGTCCTGTTAGGGCATAGGACATCTAATATTGTAGCTCCCATGCATGGCACACAGTGGACACTAAATAAATGGTTAAAGGTCCATGCATTTGTTGAATGAGGAGCTTATTCTTTTACATTACCAGTTGGCTGAGCCCAACTTCTGATAATAATATAATGCACATACCTCCACCATGTCTTCCCCACCCTAACCTCAGGGGAGAGCTAGGTTAAGTTTCTCAGCCTGGTTTTAATGTAATACACCTGTGGGGATTCTTCTGAAGGGCAGGAAGTCTGATGAAAAGGAGTCAGGGTCACTTGGGCCCTGAGGTCCTTTATTTTGGGGGAGCTTATGGATGACACTGCTGGTTTGAGGACCCCACTTGAGAGCATTGGGTCTGATCACAACAGCAATAATGGCAGCCAAATGCACTCTTGTTACCTCTGGCTCAGGACAAATAACAAAACCTGCCTTGTGTGTTGTTATCCTTCCAGAAGTCTGAGACTTCAAATGCTGGAAATTTTTCAATGCATTAGCAAAATATTTAAGTTATGCTCTGAGCCATAAACAGCTGGCAGTACTCTCCTTTGTGCTTGTAGCTTTGGTTCAATCACATCCTATCGATAAATCAGAAGGAAATGAGGAGAGGAGACACTCTGGAAGATTCCATTCCAGTGACAAGAGGATTAAGGAGTGGGTGAAGGTGGGGGAAGGAGCCAATGGCCTCTCAAAGCAGTCTTTCCAGCCAGTTCTGGCGACAACCCTGGAGCCTGGCAGTGAAACCCAGTAGAGCTTTTATTGGGAAGGGCCCCACCCTTCAACACTTGCTGCATGTGGCCCAATTCCTGGCAGTTCTCTGTTCCCAGTAAACAGTGAGTGGCAGCACATTGATTGGGAGCCCTTTGAACCCCATGCAGTCCCTTTGCTGGTATGCCAAGTCTTCCAGGGGTCAAGCATCCCCGGTGCACGGAGTTCTGAAGGAAAACACCCCCTCTCTGTCTCCTTTTCCAGATGTCCCTGGGCCAGCAGCAGTTGGCAAGAGGAGTAGCTTGTCTGCGGTGCAAGGGAATGTGTTCTGGCTTCGAGCCTCATTCATGGAGGTAAGGGATTTGGTCGGGGGACTCTGCTTGCTTTTGTCCCTCACCCGTCCTTTCTGAGAATCCAGGTGGTTCTCTCTGCTGGCACTGCTTGGGACACATGCTGGGAAGGGCAGCTGAGGGGTGAGAGCCATCCTGCTCATCCCAATTCAGGAACAAGTGAAAGTTGTAAAGATCTTGGGGAACAAAGATACAAAGATGCTGCTTAGCACTTAGTACACCATTTCAAGGTGGAGGGCACCAAGCCCAGCACATTGAGGGTTATGTGTTTTCTTATTGCTGTGACCAAATACCTGATAAGAAGCCACGTAAGAGAAGAAAGGTGTCTCTTGGCTTACAGTTGGAAGAGATACAGTCCTTACGAAAGGGAAGCAGGGTGGCAGGGGGCTCCGTGGTGGCAGGAGTGTGCAGCCAGTACTCATCACTTCCCCACGTCTGAGTGGGAACAGGAAGCAGAAGCCAGCAGGAAGTGGAGCTGGGCTATAAAACCTCAAGTTCCCAGGGATACCTACTTCCTCCAGCAAGGCTCCACCTCATACATTTAACATATATGTACATATCTAACATACATATTATCATATACAATATAAAATATGTTTACATATCTAATATATATAATAAGGTTTATAACCTTATAACCTTATAAAATAGCACTACCAATTAGGGACTAACTATTCCAACACATGAGCCTATGGGAGATATTTTACATTCAAGTCACAAGAGATTACTATGAAAAGATGGATACAAGGTGCCTTTAGAAGAGGACTGTCTCCTTTTAGGTTTGGAGAATGGAACTGCTCTTACCCCACTGTAGTGTCATCCCAGGGGGTAAGTTTTGATCTAAGTGTGGTCCCTGAGATGAAGTCAAAGACAGGGTAGGGAGACAGCTCAGTCAATAAAGTGCTTACCTTGCAAACATGAAGGGCTGAGTTTGAGTCCCAAAACCCACATTTAAAAAGTCAGACATCATGATGCTTGTCCAGTCCTGTGGAGGCAGAGCCTGGGGCTCGCTGGCCAGTCAGCCTAGCTGTCTTAATGAGTATTAGGCTAGTGAGAGATCCTGTCTTAAAAAAACAGATAGATGGCATCTGTGGAGTGACACACAGGGCTGTCCTTCAACTTCAATATGCATGCACACACATGTACACATACAAGAAGTCAAAAGCATCTGGTCCACAGTACTAGAAAACCAGGACCTGGGATTCCTATCTGTGCAGGAGGACTATCAGGTCCAGCTGGGCTTCTGGAATTTGTCTTTCTTTTTCATTACCAAAGACTTTGAAGCAAGGTTGGGGCTGCCAAATTGCATAATGCCCATCAGTCCTCATGTCAACATCTGTGTGGGTGGTAGCTCTAGAGCTGTGCAGGGCACAGCCTGGGTGACTGTCCCTGCAGCCACAGAGAGGGAGGCCAGCCCTGTGGCATGTGGTAGCAAACAAAGAGCTTCTGTTGTCAGTGTATCTTGGGCTAAGTGGAGATCAAAACTCCTCAGGTAATATCTAAGATGCTGACTTCCACAGTGAGACTGAAGTTGAAAAGCGTCAACTACACATGAAACCATCATCTCAAAAACGAAAAAAACACTACTGATTAATGAGCAAATTTTATATTGAAATGCTGAAATAATCCTATGCATTAAATAGTGCTCTTGATTTTGCAGATATGTACACTGAGGGTGGGGAACTGGGAAACATTTACTAAATGGCAGGGCTTGGGACTATAGAGACTGTTCAGTGGCTAAGATCAATTGCTGCTCTTGCAGAGCATCCAGGTTCAGCTCCTAGCACACAAATGGCAACTCACAATCATCTGTAACTCCAGCTCCAGTGGATCCAATACCTTCTTCTGACCTCCGAGGGCACCAGGCATATACACAGCACCCAGATACACATGTAAGCAGACACTCATACATGTTAAATAAAAATAATTAAACCTTAAAAAAAAAAAAAAAAAAAGCCAGATATAGGGGCACATGCCTTTAATTCCAGTACTCAAGAGGCAAAAGCAGGTGGGATCTCTGTGAGTTTGAGGCCAGTTTACTCTACACAGAGAGTTCCAGACTAGCCAGGGCTACAAAGTGAGACCTATTTCAAACAAACAACAAACAAATAAATAATAAATATATAATAAAACCACAAATAATCACTTTTAATTCCTTGACACATTTTCTTTATTTCCCAGAAAACATCAGTTGATTTTGCTTTTCTAGTTTAAAAAGAAACGTGAGAAGGAAGTGATGGCCCTTGGGAGGCTGGCCAGGAGCCAGGGTGGAGAATCATTCTCTACCACCTTCCAAATTCAGGCATCCCCCTTCCCAGGAATACTGTTCTACATAGGGCAGTCAGTGTCTGGCCCTAGACTGATGACCACTTACCTCTGCCAAGATAAATAAATAAATAAATAAATAAATAGATAGATAGATAAGGCAAGACTTGAACTCGTATACGAATGAACCCAGTCTCATGCTCTTAAGCATTCTGCACTATGACAGGTTGTGAGATTTCGAAGCATCATCCCATTCCTTGACTCCCTTCCTTCATAACCCTTGTCCTCAGAGGAGCCCACATGGTCTTCCACATGGAAGGGACCTTAGAGGTCACAGGTTTCAGGCCTCTGTCTCCTGCAAAAACTTCCTTTTATGGCTGAAAAGTTTCCAGGTATAAATTTTCGTGGGGGATTCCCTCCATTCCTATGTTGTCATTTACATAGATTTTGGCCTTGAGGGAAGTCAACATCTATCATGCCAACACTACCCATGCCAAGTCTTCCTTCTGTCAGGGAACTGAGGAATCTCTTCAACTCTTTGATGGTATCTAGGAGGTCTCTGTAAACTTCTTCGGATGGAAAACAGTTGTTCTCACAGTGCACAATGCTCAGTCCTGAGTTGATGGTTCCCAGTATCTGCACGGGGTCCTTTAATGTAATTGGCCTGGTTTTCTAGCTGTTTCTGGAGATATGACACGTCTCTCCACGCCCCTCATGCTTCCTAGGAACAGAAATCTCCTTGCATTGTTTCATCCTTCTACATTCTTGTCATTCTACCCATGATTTGAACAGCAAGTAAATTTCCCTTTAAGAAGTACAGATTAAAATTGCAGGTCCTACAAAGGAGGTATCATCTTCCTTTGGAACAACTCAAATAGAAGCTTAAATTCAACCCATATTGAAGCAATAACATCACAGGACCTTGGGGAGGAAACACTTGCCAAACACCTCCATGTTCCAGTTTTCATAGTCAGTTACTTCAAAGTCATTACATTAGCTTCATTTCCATTGCTGTGATAAAATGCCCTGACAAAAACAGCCTTAAGGAAGAAAGGATTTTGGGTCACAGTTCTAGAGGGAATATAGCTCATAAGCATGGCAACAGGAGCATGGGGCTAGCCCATCCCAGTGTATCAGCAGTCTGGAAGAAAAAACAAACAAGCAGTAGGGCCAGACTATAAAACCTCAAGGCCCACCCCACTGACCAACAAGGCTGCACCTCCTAATGATTTTCTAACCTCCCCAAATAGCATCACTAGCCAGGGAGCAGGTTTTCAAACACAAGAATCTAGATGCTGCAGGGAACATTCTTATTCAAACCACAACAGATATTCAAATGACTTTAAATGATGGAAGTTCTAGTCAACCTGAGCTGAAAGGAAAACCCTCAACTTACCATCGCAGGACACAATACAATACTTGATTATCCACAAAGGTAGCAGAAATGGCCAATTTAATGTCATTCAGGCTGTGTATGCATCCCCTACAATATGGGTGCCTGAAAAAGAGGGGGGAAAGAGAAAGTGTCTTTATCATCCATCTATCGGGTACAGCAGTGTGCACGGCAATATGAAAAGTGTGAATAAGAGGGGAAATGAGGGGAATACAATCTCAGAGAACAGTCCCAGTGGCTCAGACAGCATCCTGGATTCCATATTAACCAAAACAGTGAAGGGCAGCCCCCCAACCCCAAGTCAGTTCCACATACGGGAGGTATGAGCAGGTTGGAGTGTCATGGGGGACACAGAGCTCTTACAGTCTGGGCTTTCCTGTGTCCCTATGCACTTGGCTTTCCTTTCCACTTCTGCTGTTGTCTCCTGTCAAAGACAAACTGCCAGCACAGTCTCTCACCAGCCATCCCTGCCTGATTCCCAAAAGGGAAGAGCGAGAGAATATGGTGGACTATGAATAAAATGCCTCAACTCCACAGAATAGGCGACTCCTTCCTATGAGACTGTAAAGACAAGACTCCTCGTGTGTGTCCTGGAGCATTCTTTCTGTTCTGTAGAGGGATGAATCCTTGTGATTGTCAATTTTAACCCTTCTCATGTCACAGCCCATTGAGTGTGAACTTGGGACAGGACACAAACTCCTCAGATACCATTCTATGTACCATGCTGCAGGAAGTGCAGCCTGACACTAAAGAAAAATGGTTAGCTTTCCATAGTTTTCCAGACTCCTGACCACAGAGTACTGAGCCCTCATCTGTGTCCCACCTACTCACATCCTAGGGAACTTCTAGAGGCTATCAGAAGCACCCCCAGATCCCATGCAGCCTTTTCCTGCTTCCTGTTACACTTCCCATCTGCCATGCTGATCATAAGCTCCTTGAAAGTTGCAAGCAGGCCTCTTTTTCTTCAAATGAGATGCAGTTTCCAACTCACTGCACTATTGACATTTGGGGCTGATGATGCTTCATTGTTGGGGGCTGCACACACTTTGTTATTACTGGCATCCCAGGCTTCTGTCCATTGCATACGAGGTACCCTCCCCTCCTGGTCTTCTACAGGCATTGCCAGCTGCCCCTTGAGGGTCATGATCTACGTTGAAGGACCACAACTGTAAAACCATCCAATCACACTTCTGCGAGCCCCACCATCAACGATTGTGATGGATGGCAAGGTGTATTAGTGTCCTGGGTATAGAAGCGCAAGCAGGGCTCCCTTAGGCTGACCTGCGGTGACACCATCCAGCCTCCTTTGCCTTGCCCTTCCTCATCCCAGTCCCTGTGGTTGGTCTTAACATCACTCACTTAACAAGCTCTTAAAATGCATGCTGTGCATCTAAGACACTGCACAGCACACTGATGGTGACAGGCCTATGCACACTTTTCCTCTCACACCCTGGAACTCTCTGGAGTTCTAAACCTTAACAGCATGATACAAAACAGCCCAACTCTTTCTTTTTTAAATGTCAGAGATTGAAGCATCAGGGCTTTCAAGTGAACTGAAACTTACCCAGAATATATTTCCTCTGTCCATGCCCCTGACAAAGCCACCTGGGAAATCGATCTTAGCTTAGCTTGGCTTTGCTTAGCTTACTCCCCTCCCTCTGGCTCCTGTCCAAAAATCTGAAGAACATTCGTACTGGATCTCACTTCATCAGGCATGCTAAAGAGTTTCAGGGGACATCCTGAGGCTCACGAATCGTGCAAGGCAATTTCAATAATTGTTTAGAGCAGAAGAGTTAGCATATTTTTCTTTTTTGTAAAGGCCCGAATAGCAATATTTCAGGCTTTACAAGTAAGATGGTCTCTGTGGTAACTATTCAACTGTGCTGTTCTAGCCCCAAAGTAACCAAAGGCAGGCTATGGATGAATAAACATGTCTATGTTTCAATAAAACTTTATTTATAAAAAGTAAGTTGGGGGCTAGGTTCAGGCCACAGTCCACACAGAAGCTAGCTTTAAGAGCATATGCAATAAATGAATTAGCCTTTTGCCATGGCAACCACCAGAAGGAAACTGTGCTGCTCTTTTTACTAACCACCTCAGAACAGAAGCTTCTCAGGATGATATCCACAGTCCACATCTCCCCAAATTAGACAGAAAAATGGATAGGCATGCTGCCCACGAACCACTCCCAGTCCCTGGAGTCTTGTCTGCCTTATGCTAGCCTTTCCAGGTAAATAAAGTGAAACTTTGTACTAGGTTCAGAAGTGTAGATGCTGCAGCAGGAGCTGCTGCCTTTCTTTTCTGGAGGGTGATCTCATTTGTCCCCATCCTGCTCCCCAGGAAAATATGCAAATCTTGCAAGTGCAGTCAGGAGGAACACTGCCTGAGCTCTGACCTAGAGGATGATCGGAAAATCGGGCGCCTGCTGATGGACTCCAAGTACTCCACCCTAACTGCCCGGGTGAAGGGTGGAGATGGCATCCGCATCTACAAGAGGAACCGCATGATCATGACCAACCCTATCGCCACAGGCAAAGACCCCACCTTTGACACTATCACCTATGAGTGGGCCCCCCCAGGAGTCACCCAGAAACTGGTAAGGTGGCTTCTGCCACTTCAGCAATCATTTAATACCCTCATAAATATTAGCTGTGTTGTAGATTCCTAAAATTTGAGGATAAGGTAACCAGAGGTTTAGAAAAATGCAAGTATGGCTGTAGTTCCGACTCTGCTCCTCTGTCGTGTAATGATGAAGCAAAGGTAGTCTGGGCCTTGGTCTTCTTCATCTGTGGAATGGGTAGAGGTATTCATGTAAACTCTCAGGAATCTTTCAGCTCCAATACAGGGCACTCCTTGTGCCCTTTGGGCTCCTTGCCTTTGAGCAGGTGATGTTTTATCACTCACAGTTCTCTGAGTGCCCATCTCTGTGTGTAAGACTGTCATCCTCCCACAGTGGCCTGGGGTGTTCTTTGCACAAGTCTGTGGGAAAACAGAGGCACATTCTTTTCCTCAAACAAGAAGCCTCTTGATCTTCAAAGGAAAAATCAAACTGGACTTTCACAGGCCTGAGAAAGTAGTGTCCAGAGAAAGAAGTGTTGGACAAATATTGAGAACCCAGAGGGTGGTAGATAGGACAGAGACCCAGAAAGAGCAAGGAGGCGAGGGATTCATATAAGGTTATACACTAAGGTTCAACAGAACCAACCTTGTGGGACCAGCAGAAGTCCCAGGGCCCAGGTATCTCCTCAGACCACTAAATTGTAAGTTCCACATTGCAGAATCCAGATCACTCTATGGGGGCTTCTAAATGACTCCTCCAGTGATTTTACCTACACCGTCTTAAGCACTAAGATCCCAGACCATGGCTTTTCACATTTCAACATGGGTGCTCTGGGAAACTCACTAAGATGCACTCAGTGAGGTAAGGGTCCTCCCCAGGATCTGCAGGCAAAGCTGATGCTGCTGGGCCCCAGACCCCATTTGGAATGAAAAAGGGTGAAATGATTTCTACAATATCGTGAGATTTGAAAATAACAATAATAAGGGCTGGAGAGGAAGTTCAGTGGTGGAGTACTTGCCCTGCATTCATAAGGCCTTGGGTTCAGTTCCAAACATTGCAAATAAAATAATAGGGTGGGGTCTGGTGACTTTAGAAATGAGAATTTGGAGTTTCATGAATTCTTTGTGGAAGCAAAGGAGAGCCTTGAAGTCCAGCATGATCCTGTCCATTAAATGAATGAACAAATGAATGAGCGAATTAATGCACAGCACTTAAGTACTTAATACCCTGTAACACCCTACAAGATAGGAATTCCTTTAAAAACAAGAGGCAAGGTATGGGTCTCCCTCAGCAGGTTTTCCAGGCTAAGCAGGGGCTGATGGCTGGTGACAGAGGATGGCAATCAGGGCAATGGCAAAGCCCAGAACATGCCAGGGGGGTCCAGGGTGGGCAGGAGGCAGTCTGCCCTTGGCTCCTAATGTACATGCTATCAAGCTGTGTCCACAAAGTCAGCAGGAACAAAAGCCAGCAGCTCATACAGAGCTGGCCGTGGGCGTCAGGAAGCAGCTGGTGAAAGTCCTGGATACACTGCCGGGTGTAATCAGCGACAGGCATCGGCGGGCAGTCGTGACTGCTGCCCCATAAAACCTTCTGGCTACAAAGCCCCTCTGTCTGCCCTGCAGCCGGCTGGTCTCACTTCTGACATTGGCCAATGCTGACTTTTTGCTCACTCTCCCCACTCCGTTTTCATTACCAAGTAGTCGGGCCTGATTGTATTTTGGAAGCAGGACAGAATCTGGTTGTCTGTCATCCCAACAAGAATAAAGGCCAGAGAAATCCATCAGCCTTTCAAGCTGGTGCCCATCAGCCTGCCTGTGCCTCTGTATCAAGTACTTACTAGGAGCCAGCCACCAAACTAAGTGCTTTCTACCCACAGCCTCATGTGATTTCCCAACATGACAGACATACCACTATACTGCACTCATATACAGAGAGGGAAACTGAGACTGAGAGAGGGTCTGCAAATAGCCAAATGACTACTTGTTGATTTAGTTGGAGCCAGGCCTTGACCTCAGGCCTCCCTACACCCCAAAGCCTAGGTTCCTCGGTCTCCCAGGCCACCAGGATCACAGTTGCCTAAGGAGACAGGCAAGAGAGTTAATTTATTTTAATACAGTCTTCCAAGGATGAAAAGACATTTGAGAGGGTCATCAACTGCTACCCAAGAAAGAGAAGGAAGATGGAGGGAGGCGGCATCTTCAGCACTTGGCACACATGTCCCCTGAACACCCATCCTCTGTGTTGTAGCCACTCTGGCTGAATGTGTCACACTTGTAAGTCACACCCCACTCTATGCTCCCACCCTCAAGATGACCACTGAGAGTCAACAGTGATCTTCCTCCCACTGAGCCTATCAAGCCTGAGCATCCTGCTTAACACAGCACTCAAGTGCTGCTGCCTGGGGTTGACAGCAAGAGAAGAGTCCAGAAGAGAGGCCTTGGGCCTAGTGGTCCTAACTCCAGAGCCCAGGCATACTCTGACTCCGAGAGATGGGGCCCTTCGCCTGCCCCTTCACTCAGCATAGGTATTTCTTTGTTGCTGATGGAGTCTAGAACTCTCTCCATCTGCGATGTCCCAGCCAGCTGCAGAGCGGTATACAACTCAGAAAGATCTTTAGGACAAACAAACCTTAGACAAGTCTTTCCAGCTAAGCTAAGAAAATTCCTCTTGCTAAAGGTTTAGGTAATGCAATCTTAGCCACATTCCTAGAGAGACAGCTGAAAACTCTCCAGCAGAGTCAGAATAGCCCCAGACATCACTGGGACTCAAACCTCTGCTTTTGCCATCTCCTTCCCAAGTCCTTACTAATCCATAGTGAGTGCCTAGACAACTGGGCTCAGCAGGCTCCTGAGACCATCATCAAGGATTGATTAGTAATGTCTGCCACGAGCACAGGTAGAAGAGTAGTGACAGGTATCTCAGACCCGGTGAGACAAGGCCAGATCTCAGAGTACACACTAGTGGCAGGCAAATATGCAGTGTCCTTGATAATGCAAAGACGGAGCCACCACACATTTGGGGCTTTGAGTTACAACAGGAACACTGAGTCCCCAGGAAGGAAACCTCATTCTCCAGGATCCTGATAAGAATTGCCACAGCTACTCAAGGGCAGCACAGAGCTGTGAAAGGACATTGCATGCAAGGACCAAATGAGTGCCACTGCTTCAGGATTCCTGACAGTGTTTATTTATAAAGCTAGGATATGATAGCATAGGCACCAAGGCCAGAGAAACAGACACACCCAAGGGAAGAGGAGATGCTGGTACCAGGTGATAGAGCAAAACAGAACTTGAGACCCAAGTCCTGGGTTCAAAGCTGCCACATACTAGTTGTGTGACTTTGTAGTTTATTTAACCTCTATGTGCCTCAATTTCCTAAAAGATTCATCGGTACTTCCCTCCTAGGCTGCCATGAGAACTACATGGGTCAGTGAATGTAAAGCTCCTCTAAGACTCCCTGGAACATGCAATAGTTCATTTTAGTGTGGCCTATTCCTACCATGCCCTAAACTACTGAACTTGGGGGAATCAGACATCCTCGTAAGAAAACAGTTACTTCTCCAGAAGGGCAGGGGATGCTTCAGCAAATGGAATCAGTGAGATGCTGTGGAGCTTAGTGCCCTCTCTGCCAGGGGAGCAAACCTCTTGTCTCCACCTTTCCAAATTCTTCCCTGGATAATGGGAGTAGGACAGTCCCTCAGCAATACTTAGAAAGGGGTCCTGTGGGTGGCCCTGTACCCTAGGTCTCTGTACTTTGCCTTGGACACTGGCTGTTCAGCTGTCACTTCCCAGACAGCTGTCCTCTCTGATGGTCATAGCCTCTTCCACACTACTTTCCATGGACCCCAGAGGGTCTGATCCTTGGATGTCTGCCTCAGCTGTTCACACAGGAGAACTTGTCTCAGGGTTCATTTCCAGGCCCCTCTATGCTCCTTTAATCTGGGAGTGTGCAGAAGAGTCTTCGTAGCCTCCAAATTATTCCTACACACCCTAAGGACTGAGCCTGGGCTCTTGAGAGTTACCTAGATGACACAGTCAACTACAGTCCAGTCCACCTGTTTTCTCACTGTCCAAGAAAAACCACTGCACCCATAACCTCCTGTATTAGTTACTTTTCTGTTGCTGTGATAAGACACTATGACCAAGGCATCTTATAGAAGGAGGAGTTTATTGGGTTTCTGGCTCTAAGGGGATAAGAGTTTGTCACAGCAAGGGAGGCATGGTAAGAGGCAGCCAGAGCAGAAAGCTGGGGGCTCATATCATCAAGCAGGCACAAGAAGCAGAGAGAGAAACAGGAAATGGAGCAAGGCTATGAACTGTCAAAGCCCGCCCCCAGTGACGTGATTCCTCCAGCAAGGCTGCACCTCCTAAAGCTCCGTAAACAGTGCAACAAGCTGAGGCCATGTTCGAATACTTGAAGTGTATGGGGGACAGTCTTCATTCAAACCCCACACCTCCTAACACGGGACAAGAAAGAAGCTCTTCCCAGATGGTGTGCCAGCCTGTGTGGTATCCTGGGGGATCTATTCATCCCCATGTTCGGTAGAGGATTTTAGCCTCTGTGGTCAAGTGGAACCCCTCCCTCTGGCCCTCTCCAGGCCATCAACTGGAGTGATCCATGAACTTCTTACTCTCTTTCTTGTGAGGAGGGTCAGGCAAAGTTGCCTCAGACTTCTCCCAATAGTCAGAACCCCAGTAATTGTGCAACCTGCCCTGAATTTTGCAGATAAGAAAACTGAGGTGCACAAGGGTTAAGCACTCTGGGAGATGGGTTAGTTGGTAAATCCCTTCCCCCGCAGTTCTTTTCACCACCTTAGCTACCTCCTGTTTCTTGGAAAGCTCTTTGAAAAGCACCTACACATGTGCAGGGGTTGACCAGTTATGCTGTGAACCCTTAGCACCAGCAGAGACTCAGACTGGGGTTCCCAGGATCTAGGACACAGTTGCCAAGAAGGTATCCACAGTCATATGTCACACCAGCTCCAGCAGAAGCCAGGATGATACACTCTCCCCTTTTCCAGAATTCAATCATTAGAAGACCCAGTGAGTATCAGGCTCATGACACTTCTGCTCGACTCCCAGTTTCTTCCCCTATGTTGCTCAGCTTCCATTACTATGACAATTTTCTAGGATAGTAAGCTTGTAAAGAGGAAAGGGCTGTTTTGGCTCCTGGTTCTGGAGGTTTCACTATGGGATCATGTGGTTCCTCTGACACCAAGGCAGGAACATAAGCAAAGTCACTCACCTCATGGCAGTGAAGCAAAAGAGGAAGGGAGCAGGTCTCACTACCCCTTCAAAGGCCTGTCTCCAGTGATCTAAAGACTTCCTACTAGAAGTTTCTACCACATCTTGAAGTTTCTACCACATCACGATAGCACCAAGCAGGGGACCAATTCTTTAACACAACGGTCTTTGGGGGACAATCAACATTTAAACTGTGGCATCTGTGTTGCCTAAAACCAGACATCAGCTGAAACAGTTCACCATGAATTTCCATATGATTTTATATGTTAATTCCCACAATTCGAAATGAGTCCAGCTCTGAGTGGTGTGAAATAGGCCAGTTGGTTCATGGAGGAGGGATGATGGAAACTCTGCTGCCTGGTGATGAGGGATGGGGACAGAGATGAAAAATAGTTACCCAAAATAAGCAACTTGCCTCTCAGTTTCTCATACTGTGGCCTTGACCTTTGTTACCTCCTGACTTTCCCATCCTGAAACCCAATGAGAATATTTCTATCTGTGGAAAAAAGAATCAATAATTATCTGTGAACATATTAATATTCAGACAATTACCAGTCATATTGACACGGAAGTGTTATCGACCTGAGGCCTTGTTGATTCTACTCTTAGAAGGTGCCTATGCATATTCTAAAATTAATAAACCATGAAATACCATATGCCCCTAATGATCTAATTATGCTTTTCTAAGAAAAGGAATTTTAAATTAGATTGACTTTTTCTTTTAATTAGGAGTATTGCTCATGAAGTAAATGAAGTAAAAATGTTCCATTTGGAAGGGAATGAAATCCATGCTGCAAAGCTGACAAATCTAAAATGAACCTCTACTTCACTGTCACCCACTCTTACCAAAGCAAGAGTCTGTGGCTATTCCTTAGGGCAAGTAAAAACTCACTCAGGCCCCTCAGGTGTGACCAACATTCATGACACTTCTTGGAGAATCCTTGAGGTTTGTAAAGCTTGAAGCACTGAGTCCTTCACTCACCTTGCCTCAGTTTCCAGCTAGGTGCTTGAGGGTCCCAGCTGATTTGTCTCATGTATTTGTTTCTTGCTGGTGTTTCAATGAAAAGTAGTTAAATTAGTCACTTTTCTTGGTAACAAAACACCTGACATAACCAACCTAGAGCTTTATGTTGGCTCACAGTCTGAGAGGCTACAGTCCATCATGGCGGCAGGGAAGGCATGATGGTGGGTGTGGCTCATGACTGTGGCAGTGGAAGACTGTGACAGCTGCTTGTTCACATCTCAGTGTTATTTTGTGAGTCTCTTGGACTACCCTGACCAACAACTTGAAGAGGGATTTCTCCTACTTGGCACTGTGTTTTTTGTTATATAGCCTTTAGCTATACACATGCACTCATACATATATTGTATGTCTGTTTTTCATTAGGGCTTTGAACTTATATATTTCCCTCTGTTTAGTACTGACTTTTCTTTGGTGATACAGGCAAACTGTTATTACTTTTCTTGTTGTTGTGACAAACTACCTACCAAAAGAAACTTAAAGGGAAAAAAGGGTGATTCTGGCTCACAGTTTGAGGGTACAGTTCATCATGGTGGGGAAGTCATAGTGGCAGAAGCTCAAAGTAGTTGGCCACCTTTCATTGGCCATCAAGAAGCAAGGTAGGTAAATGCTGGTGCTCCACTAGCTTTCTTTTTTTATTCAGTCTGAGACTTGTGCCACCCACATTCAGGGTGGGTCTTCCTTCCTCTGTTAAACGTTCCTCTATTCAGTCTGAGACTATGAGTCCAAAATTGTGCCACCCACATTCAGGGTGGGTCTTCCTTCCTCTGTTAAACGTTCCTAGAAACCTTCTCATAGAAACACTCAAAGGTGTTTCCCTGTTAATTCTAAACCCAGTCAAGTTGACAATGAATACTAACCATCTCACTTGTCATCACAATCATTTCAAGTCAGATCGCAACACAAGACGACCTACATTCTGACGAAAACTGAAATGAGCAGCTAGAGACTCGTTTCTCTTCCCAATGCTGTACAAAAGTGAAAGCTACAGTAGTCTTGGGGAATAAGCAGTAAAATAATGCAGTGATTAGCATGTACTGCCATGACTAGTTATGAGTGGAAGGCTAACTGACAGGTGCAAGCCAGCTTTTCTTTCTCACATGTCAAAAATGGGTGTCTCAGTGGTAGAACCCTTGCCTAGCATGTGTGAGGCCCCACCTTTAGTCTCCAGGAAGAATCTTTAAATGCTTTTCAACCAAAATATAGCACACGTACAGAGCAGGTATTCCCTGTACTCAGAGCTTGATGAAGTCAGACACAGATACACATCTGTGACTCTAACACCAAGGGTAAGAAACAGAACTATTTCTACTCATGTAAGCTAAGGATATATATTTTTTCCTTTAAATTATTTTTGTTGCCTTATCGGAGACAATGGACAGATGATACTGCTTTAGTGGTTTGCAAAAGAAAAACTAAAATTAAAATATAAAGGCAATGGGGCTAAGGTGATAGTTCCAGCAGTAAAGTGCCTGCCTTTCAAGCACAAGGACCTGAATTCAATCCCTTAAAACCCAAGGGGGAAAAAAGCCAGGCATGGTGCCACATGTTTATAATCCCAACCCTGGAAGGCAGAGACAGGTGAATCCCTGAGACTTACTGGCCAGCCAGCCTAGCCTACTTGGTGAATCTAGGGTCAGTGAGAGACCCTGTCTCAAAATGAAAAGAAAAGGACAGTGAATGATTGTTTTTTCCTGTGATAAAACACTCTGACCAAGAACAATTTAGGGGAGGAAAGTGTTTACTTGCCTTACACGTCCAGGTCACAGCCCATCATGGAGGGAAGTTGGGACAGGAACTTGAAGGAGAAACCATGTAGGAATGCTGCTCACTCAGGCTTGTGCTCAGCTAGCTTCCTTATACAGCCCTGGACCACCTGTCCAGGGAATGGTGGGGAGACCCACCATGGCCTGGGTCCTCCTACATCAATTAACAATCAAGACAGTCCCTCCCAGACATGCCCACAGAGCAACCTGAAAAGATAGTTATTCCATTGAGACTCCCTTTTCAAGCGATTCCAGACTATGTCAAGTTAACAATGCAAACTAGGGCAATGGCACTTGAAAAATAGCAGATGTTATCCTCTGGCCTCTACGTGCATGTACACACATGTGAATACTCATACACATACACAGGATACACAGGAAGGAAGGAAGGAAGGAAGGAAGGAAGGAAGGAAGGATGGAAGGAAGGAAGGAAGGAAGGAAGGAAGGAAGGAAGGGGAGGAGAGAGGGAAGGAGGGAGGGAGAGAAGGAGGGAGGGAGGGAGAGAGGGAGAGAATGTGGGGCATGTATGTATGTTTTGGTCACTAATAACAGTGAAAGATCAGCATTTTGTGTCCTAGGTGGATTTTGTCCTAGCTTATTTGATCATGAACCACCCACAGCCACTTGACATTTCACATCATCTCTGCCTTCCCCTCCTCTCTAGGGCCTGCAGTACATGGAACTCATCCCCAAGGAGAAGCAGCCTGTGACTGGCACTGAGGGTGCCCTCTACCGCCGACGCCAGCTCATGCATCAGCTCCCCATCTATGACCAGGACCCTGCTCGCTGCCGTGGACTAGTGGAGACCGAGCTGAAAGCAATGGAAGAGTTTGTCAAGCAGTACAAGAGCGAGGCCCTTGGGGTGGGTGAGGTGGCCCTCCCAGGGCAGGGAGGCTTGCCCAAGGAAGAGGGCAAAACACAGGAAAAGCCAGAGGGCACAGAGACAGCTGCCCCAACCACCAACGGCAGCCTGGGCGACCCATCCAAGGAAGTGGAATACGTGAGTGTCCCTTGTCTCTGGTCCAGCTGAAGGTGCTAAAGCCAGGGCTACATTGTCAGGCTCTGTCCCGTGACACAGTCCTCTCATGCAAGTGCTTATTCATGTTCCGTGGCAGGCACTGCTTATGGAAAATAAGGCCATTGCCCTCAAAAGGCTCATAGTTTGGGGAAATGCCACCAATGAGCAAATGGTCACAGCTTAGAAAAGGGGCATCTAACCTCCCTTGGGGCAAGTGTGGGAAAAGGTGGTAAAATGCAATCTGGTCTGTGAAGGATAGCTCAGGACCACTTAAGCCATAGCCATTGAGAAGGAGTTGTGTACCCCTTAAAGAGTGAGCTTGCACAAAAAACAGGCCCCAAGTTCAAGAGAACAGGGTACAATTAGAGCATTAATAGAAGCCTCATGTGTGTGATGGCACAGCAAGCTGGGGCAGCCAGAAGGTTAAGTTTCACATTATCCATCCATCCATCTAATATCCAGTGGCTGACATTGTCTGTCAGGTCCCTGGAAGTCAAGCAATCAGAGGTCACTGCCCCCAAATTGGTGGGAGCTGTGGGCTGAGGACTGGATCTAAAGGAAATCGGGGGACTGTGGGTCAGAGGGTGTTGCATGGATCCAGCTGTACCACTGCTAATTTTCTCTAGAAATGGTGTAGAAGTGTACATCTACTGCCATGTTGGGAAAATAAGAAGGAGAAGCCAGTGTTTGAGAGGTTAGAACCTCACAGATGAGTTCGCCTTAACTGCCCAACCAAGGCAAAAATAGTAGTAAATTCTGGAATGAGGGGGGTTGATGGTCACTATGTTTCCAGCCCCCAGGACCTTGTCACCACCCATCAACCAGATAGCCTTATTTGTTCTACTTAACACTTGGAGCTAAAAGTCCCAACAGGGGATCTCTGTGTGTTAGCTTTTCATCACTGTGACCAGATTACCTGACATAAACAACCTGGCCCATGATTTCAGAGGGTTCAGTCAATGGTCATGTGGCCCTATGCTCTTGGACAGAATATCATGATGGAGGGAGCAGGTGGGTGGACCAGATGCTGATATAGAAATAGAGGAAGGGGCCAGAGCAAGGCATGGATCCTTAGAGACAGGTCCCAGTGAGCTACTTCCTCCAGCTCGGCCTCACCTACCACCTTTCACCACCTCCCACATTCATTAGTTCTAAGTCTTCATGATGTACAAGGCTCTAGAAAGTCCCTCATAGATGTCCTACCCCCACCCCAGAAGGGTGCTTTGTTAATTCCCTAGACATTTCTCTATCTAGTCAAGTTGACAACCAAGATTAGCCATCAAAGGCCTCAAGAACACACATGCCTTGCAGGGTACAGGCTGTTAGTCACTGATGAGCCAGATGACACAGGAAGGTGGCTCAAGAGCTTTGCTACCCTGTTGTCCCTAGCTCTGTCTTCTTTCCATGTTCCCTGAGAATTCTAAGATAAAGGAACCAAATTTGTTTTCTCCCTTCTTTTTGGCAGATACATTCTTGAGAAGAATATATGTGTCAAAGATTTTTTTAAAAGAAACTAAATCTAATTACCATAAGTGGTAACAAGTTTCATAAACACATTTCCCCACACCACCCTAATCCCGCCCTCTATCAGCCCTCAAATGGTTGTCTGGGATTTAAGAGTAAGCTCTGGAGAATTCCAACTTGGAAGAGAACCCCTTGATGTCATTGTGACTTCTCCAAATTGTCATTCCCAGTGGAATGATGCTACTCTGAGAATGTATCTTGTCCTTAACTGAGCCCCACATGTTTGTTCAGCATGGAACTGGGGCAAAAGTTGCCTGAGATTCTGGGTCCTTGCCTATAGTTAATTCTAAAGAATACTCGTGACAGTTTGGAAGCATTTAAGTAACAGCGCTGGCTAGCATGTGGCAGAGTCCACTGTCAAAAATGAGTAGGGAATGAGGGGGAAGCTGTTGAGCTAAACTCATTTACTACCCGCAAAAGACACAATTCTTCCTGCCTTAACCACAATTTTAACTCAGCAACTCATTGTGACATTAGTGGGTTCTTATCTGTCACTTCTTGTAAATTCTGAGATCTTGTTCATCCCTGGATCTCAAGTGGGTGTTATTGATGCAGTCAGTGCTCAACAAAAACATGATCCATGAATGAATCAATCTTTGAATTATACTGAACTTTGGGAGGGAAAGAAAATTTGGGTGATAGCATTCCTGTTCCACATTGCTTAAGCACCTGCTCTACACCAAACTGCACTCAGGGTTGCCTGCTAGGTGATTTCATGACAGCCATGAGAGGCGAAGATTCTCGATGTGTCCAGGATCCCATTGTTTCAGAAACAACATCCATACCATGCTAGGTGAAAGCACGGTGTTTGCTGCTTGCGCCAGAGGAAAGCAGACCAGGTTTTCTTATGTAGCTCTCTGTCGGTCTCCTCAAAGCAGGGGAGAGAGTCCCAAGGAAGGTAGCTTAATGACCCAGCAGGCCATAACGCTGTGTCCCCAGCTGTCCTTAGGCAAAAAGGCTGTTCTCTGTTCCTCCAGTAAAGAGTAATGACTTTGGGGAAAAAAATGTTCAGGACATTTGACCCAAGGATCCACATGTGCAGACAACACACCTGATGTCTTTAAACCAAGCAGGGACTTATGGGGGCAGGGAGGAAGAGGAAGATGGAAGGCAGATGGAAGACCATGAAACATTCAGGAACCACACTGGTGGCACCTGGCTGGGTGTCTTCACTTTGGTGGTTATGATGATTGCTGTTGGCAGCCTCAACTTAGTGGATGTGGCTCAGAAACAGGACTGTCTCCAACATGGGAGTATCTGATACAAAGCTTACAACCACCCAGCCACACCATGCTATTGTGCTATCCTAGGCTGTTGGGTCTAACCAATGTCTGTTATTGTGCCAAGTTAACAAAAACTAACCACCACAGTCATTCTCCAAGTCCATACTCTTTCTCATCTCTCAAAGGTTATTCCTAGAAATAGCTCTATCAGGTACCTTAAGAGGGTTACCTGGCCATATAAGTTTTAGAGACATTAGAGTGAATACAGGACATAGTTTCTCCATAGCAGAACTTTTCAGAGCCTTTAATAGACTAGAGTAGTTGTGTTTAAACTAAGATTATTTGGAAGGCTTGTTATCATCCAGGGACCTCATTCACAGAGTTCAGATTTTAATGGGTGTGTGGCAAGGTCTCAGTAGACATAAGAATTTGCATCTCTAACAAGTCCCCCAGTTGATGCAGAAGCTGATGGAGGATCACATGTTGACTGAAAAACTGTTATCATAAGGATCCAGAAGATGATGATATGATGTTTTCCCAATTTATTAGTGTTCCTGGATGGATGGATGGATGGATGGATGGATGGATGGATGGGCTGGAAGATGGATAAGTAGATGGATAGTGGGTAGATGGGTAGATACATGAATAAATAGATATATAATAGATGGATGTGTGGGTGGGAGAAAGGATGGGTTGGTGGATGGATATATAGGTAGGTGGATGAGTAGGTAGGCAGGGGAGAAGATGAGTAGATGCATCTTGGGTGGGTAAGTGGGTGGGTAGATGAATGGATGGATGGATGGATGGATGGACGGATGGATGGATGGATGATCTTAGGGAGCCCTGCCTTAAGAATACTACCTAGTCCTTTCATGGTTCTTGGCATTGTGTGGGAGGAGTTCTAGAAAAACAGGCATAGAGCCTAACATTGCCTTAGATATAACTACTCACACACACACTCTGCCCATTCCTTCCCTTGAAGAAACTGAATCTTGGCCATCTACCTCTCGCTATACCACACCACATGCTGCCATACACCCTAGTGGCTCCAGCCACGGCCCAAAGGCCTGTCACAGTTACATCATACCCTTCTTCTGAGACCTCAGCAGGGCAGTAATTGCAGAGTCAGGCTGCAGAGTCCTCCCCACTACCAAACTATCCATGTGTCATACAGGGTAGAGGAACATCACTGCCAGGGCTTTTTCTAAACTGCCTATAGGGAGCCCTCACCAAGGAGCTGTGATTCCTAAGAACCCTGATACTGGGGGCCAGCCAGGATGCAGGACACACCTCTGCCTGGACCCACTCATGAGGATCTGAGTTCAGTTCATAGACCCAGAATCCAAGCCCAGTTTTCAAAGTCCTGGCAGACCCTCTGACAGGGCAAGTTTACCTAAATTAGTCAACTCACGTCTGTGCATTTAGGCAATGAATCCAAGGGGTGTGGCTGTTGTCTACACCCACCTCAGAGAAGTTCAGAAAACACCACTATCGCCCTGAGAGTGGGAGGGCAGGTAGAAATGCCTTCAGATACCAAACCTGCAGTAAGGCCTCCACATGAGGAAATCCCATGTCACACCCCAACCACAGACACCAATTCACCTGTTGTCACCCCTAAAGAAGAGGCATGCTTTTTTTTAAACTATGAGGCCAGTTACATCTCTTTAAATCTATACAACAATCATGAGCTTTACATCTATGTGGCAATCATGAGAAAGTTTTGGGTTTTCAGGCCCATTTCCCAGATGAAGAGCCTGGGGCACCACCAACATAGCTTGCTGAAGAGTAGTGGGCTGATTCCACCGCAGGTCTTTGTTGTCAGTAGCAGTGTGGTCTGAGAGTTCCTGAGAGGAGCCTTTAGACTGCTTCTGACCTGCCAGGGTGTGTATGTGAGTAAGCCATGGCATCTGACATCCCTCACAGCCCAGCCTGCTGGAGAATGAGGCCCTTTGCTCTGTGGGCCAGGAAGAGAGGAAAGACTCCCTACCCTAATCCAAGCCTCTCCACCACGGTTCTTGTGGGTCTTGGGAGCATCTCAGAGCTCTGGACAGGGGGCTGTAGACTCCAGCAATCTGCACTATATCCCACCAGTCTGCTCAAAGCCCCTCACCCATTCTCAAAGCCTCCTCCCTGCCCAATTTCTCCCTCCTGGAGTACCTATACTGTGCAGGCCACAGCCTGCATGTTCTGACTGTTCACAGTTCTGCCAAGCCATTTCCCTGCATTCAAAGAGCT